TGCTTGCTCATATTATCAGTTGACATCTTGTTTTTTGGCCTGACTTCGTAACTGCAATGCCCTGACTTTCCTAATTTTAAATATGGCCTCGTGGATTCAGTAACTCACATAATGTGTAGTAGTCCTGATCAATATCAGGTTTTTTTTTTTTTTAAAAAAAAAAAAAATTGTATAAAAAAAAAAAAAAACATTACACATACCTGTACACGTATACAAACTTTACACGCACACAAATGTTTTCAACACTAAAAATGGTATCACGAAGGAACAACAACAGAAAAAGTGATCGTATTACTAATAAAAGCCGTTGTTCATGGAGTGCCAGGGAAAAACTCATGGTTATCAGTTATTATGAGAATGTTAAAAACATAAGAGCAACTGCAAGATGATTTGAAATCGAGCCAAAACAAGTTCATGAGTGGCTAGACAAAAAATATGAACTTATGAGTGTCGCTCCTTACCTTTTAACATTTAACTCTGATCACCGGGCCCAGTTCTCATTATTAGAAGAAAGACTTGTTAAGTGGATTAATGAACGTCGCAATGAGCAGTATGCTGTTACCCAAAACATGGTTGTAAGAAACACCAAAACATTAGCCGAAACTAATGAATTTAAAAATACATACCCTGACATTGGCAGCTTCAAATTTTCTAAAAGCTGGTTGTGTCGGTTCTTGTACCGCCATAATTTTTCAAATTGTAAACGTACGACGGTTTCCCAGCACCTCCCAGCCAGCCTTGAGGAAAAACAAAATAAATTCTTAAGTTTTATTTTGTTTAAACGTCAGGAATATGACTTTCCTCTTAGGTATATTAGAAATATGGACGAAACGCCTTTGTCATTCGATATGCCTAGTCCTGTTACTATTGAAAAATGCAGATCTAAGACAGTAGGTATCAGAACCACCAGGCACGAAAGAACAAATTTTACTGTAATTCTTGGGTGCCTTGCTGATGGCGTGAAACTTCCGCCCGTATGCATTTTTAAACTGAAGACCATCCCCCGTGAAGTGTTTCTCTAGGGCGTTATTATAAGAGTAAATGAAAAAGAATGGTATAATGAGAATGAGATGCATTTTTGGATCAATAATGTTTGGAGCAGACGTAGTGAGCTGGTAAAACCGCAGTCTCTTCTCGTTTTGGATTCTTTTAGGGGTCATATAGTAGATTCTGTTAAATACCAGTTCAAAGAAAATAACACCCACCTTGCAGTTATTCCCGGAGGATTGACTAGTAGGCTACAGCCTCTAGATGTCGCCGTGAATAAGAGTTTCAAGAGTAAGGTACATACATCAAGATGCCTTGATCTGTTTTGAGTTACAAAAATATTAACATATTTAATTTTTTAGGTATGACATCACTATGAAGAATGGATAGCTAACATGATTCATCAATTGACGCCTGCTGGACGTCTACGAAAGCCATCGTACGCTACTCTTGCACAATGGGTAATGGATTCGTGGAACAAGGTTGACCCTCGCTTAATCGTAAATTCATTCAAGTGTTGTGGTGTTTCAGTCAAGATGGATGGGACGGAAGACGATTTGGTCTTCGACTATGAATCGTTGAGTGAGAATCTGGCAGACAAAAATGATAAGAATTCCGAAGTAGTAGGTCTTGATATTAATAGTGAAGAATACGAAGAAGTTGATGACATTAATAATGTTTGGGAATAATTACAGAATATTAAATTCTTTGTTAGATTTTGTTTTAGATTTTTTTTGTCAGATTTTTAGATTTTTTTTGTTTTTGCTTTGTTGCATTTATCGATTTTAGATAATAAAATTTGAGCATTTTATAATTGAATCGAGTCTCAGATTGTTCTCAATTGAATTTGGGTAAAGTTAATAAAATTGAAATTATAATTGGGTTGCAAAAAAGCTTTTTTTTTTTAAAGAAAAAATTAAAGATATTAATTTTTGTACTGTTTTTTATCTTGAAATTTGATTGGCTATAATTTTTGTTTTTATATAGAAACACTAGGTAGGATACAAGTCACGGAGGGGTACATGAGCCGGGGGTCACTGTAACTAATACCCGGGTATAAATCATGATTTGGCCTCTGAAATTGCTGCAGGGTACAGCTCACAGGGGGGTATACATGTCAGAGAAATACAGTATATTTTTAAATTGTATCAAAATTGCAACATTTTTATTTGGTCTAAAACATGTTTTTTTCATTTTTTCTTGATGTATTTATTCGTAAAATTTAATTTAAAGTTAATATGTAAATGAAGAAATATAATCGCAACAAAGTTATTTGTAATTTTATATGTTTTTGCTTTAATTTTATATATAAAAAACACTGTATATATAAGTTATATGACAAATTGGTTAACTGTTATATATAATTTTAACTTTTTTTACCCCTCTTCCTCCTAAAAAATCACCCGATTTTTGTCACATCCCTAATATAATATAATATAATATGCTAATAATATGCTAATATAACTAATAATAAACTAACTAATAATATATTTTTACTAGGAATGTAGTAATAAAATTACGAAGTATATGGTTAACGGCTAACTAGAATAGCAAGTGTGCAAATCTGGTAATATGATTGGGTGATAGTTGAATGTATAATAATGAAATTTGTAAATACGCGAATATACGTACATATATGTATAAATAAATATATTAGATTATAATATTTTAGACAGATTTGGAACAATCTATTAAAATAGTATGTACGCATATAGCCGTTCACAAAGCAATATTCTTGAATCATGATTTATTAAAATTTATAGTAATTGATTTCGAAGCGTCAAGAAAGGCACTTTAAATGATAGATATTGGCACAGCATATATATCAAACAAAGCTATACATGATTTTTTTTTTTGTTTCTAAAATAAATAAAATAAAATAAATAAAAATAGAACAAACTAAAATAAGAAAAAAAATTAACTAAATAAAAAATAGAAAGAAGTAGAATTAATAAAAATATTTAAATAAACCAACTAATTAATTCT